TAATTGTATTATGTAATTGTAATAATAACATAACGACCGTGGCTCAGGGGGTTGGGAAGCGTATCTGTAACCGGAAGGTCGCCGGTTCGATCCCCGGGCTCTCTGTCCTGGTCGTTGTGTCCTTGGGCAAGACACTTTACACTACCGCCTACTGGTGTTGGCCAGAGGGGCCGATGGCGCGATATGGCTACAACTGTAGCTTGCCTCCACCAGTGTGTGAATGCGAGAGTGAATGAATAGTGGTATTGTAAAGTGCTTTGGGTGCCTTGAAAAGCGCTATATAAACCCAATCCATTATTATTATAACCATATTGCTTCATAATGATTAGAGGACATCAGACAACTTGTTTTTATTGCTTAATAATGCAGAATAATCATATAGAAATAAAAGAAACTGTCGTTGTGCGCTATTTGAGCATGTTGCCTGCCTGCAGCACTAAAGGACTCTGCGAGAGACGTCTGTCTCACCCTAGCAGCACCTGTCCCTGTCCTCCTCTTTAGTTCGCCTCAACATAAGCTTATCATATTCTGTGATGTGATTTACTCCGAGGTGTTTGATGAGGTCAGTGGTGTTGCCACAACAACGTGTCCATACACTGTTTGCGCTCAGCCATTGTTGTGAGTGTGCACGCCAGGGGCTGGGACACATTTATACAGCCGTATTCCGCATATGACTATGAAAGGCGTAAGAGGAAGTAGTTCCTTCCAAATTAGACGATCTGAATTGTATAGTTTCTTTCCACTGCGTTCATTTTAATGGAAAAACTACAAATTTACCCCAGAGTACTAAAATATTGATATTATAATATGAGAATCGATTCTAGAACATAAATTGCTGGTATCGGAGGAATCGATATTTCAGTATCGATCCGCACACCACTAGTGGCCCTGCTGTCCTCTGGCAGGGTTGGCTTTCATCATATGAAAGTATTTGCCTGGTGACAAGAAATACCTGAAAGTTAATCTTTTCTGAATTTTAGAGAAATACATTGCACATGTCTTATGTCTGTGGGGTCTTTATAATATAACATACAGTGTTATATTCACAGAGTGACGTAATAAGACAATTCCACAATACACATAAACACTGATCATTTGTTTTTGTTTTAATATGTACTGCTAATGTCTTGAACAAAAATAAAGATTTGCAGAACATACAATTACTTATTGCCAATTCCAAGTGTACGAGGGCTTTAACCCTTTAAAGCCGGTCGGAGCGGGCACGCTCTGTTTTGCGTAACTATTTTTAAATCCCGGTAGCTCTGCAAACACATAAGCTAGCGCAATAATTTTTTTGCATATGAAACCGGAGTTGTACTTACATCTTATGCCATCAGCTTGTCCTAGGTCACAGTTTCCTTCCACATATAGCTTTGCAAAAACTGCATAAAAAGCACTTGCAGCAACAAAAACATAATATTCCAGAAACTCGCTTTGCCGATCCAATCAGCTGTTCATAACACTTCCTACGTTGGAATAGACGTCAGCGCGAACTTTTGCATGTCCGCCATGACCTGCCCGAAACCGGAAGTGATGTCATTTTTGCGGAAATGTAGTTTTTTTTACCATCAGGGCCTCATGAGCTTATACTGGTGTTTTTAAAAGTTATCTTTGACTTTATGACGTTCTGTGTCGTTTCTGGGATGCTTAGGACTCATATTGCACTGCTGGAAATAGTTTATTTTGATGCATATGCTGCTTTTTTGTAAATTTGCACTATAATGTTTATTTTCGTTTTTCCTGCAGTATGAAAAAATTGGTGTATTTCAAAAATAAAACTATGAAGACACTCAAAATAAATTTCCTGTGGTGGGAAACTATTTTGTGCAACTTTTTTGTATTTACAGTTTTGAGGGATAAGCCTCTTAAATTTCTCTAACTAGAAATATATGTTAAAAAAACAAAAACGATTTTCAATTTTTCTTTTTAGTTTATTGCACTTTTTTGCAATTTATGTAGTTCCTATGCACTTAATGCATATATATTATTAAAATCTGGGCTATAACGGTTGTATTGATGTATAGCAACTTGAAATGATCCCAAAAAATGGCTCCACAGCATGTAAAAATATAATATAAGCTCTGGCGGACTTGGTTCTATGGTAGGTCTTAAAGGGTTAAGAGATAAAGGTACCCTGAGCAGTTGAATAGTCAGGGTGTCCAACACTGTGCTTTCACATACTCTCAGAAAAATTATGGTTCTTAAATGGTTCTTCAGATGTCTTCATGGTTCTTTAAAGAACCATCATATGTCAAAGAACCTTTTTATTTTGTAGATGGTTCTTTAGCTATCCGGTCGTTAAGTCTGACGTCACTAGCCGTGTCTGGGCCTAAACTCCGCTGCAGGTCCATATATCAAACGATCACTATGGCATTACTGAGAGTTGAAAAACTGTCTAAAGTCTTTCATCTTTAATAAAATGATCAGCGTTCTGCTCTACCAGGTGTAACAATTGAGTTTAACATCCAGGCATCCATGAAAACGGAATTTATGACATTTAACGGAGTTAGAAGTTAGCAGGAAGTTAGCTCGCTAGCTTCTATCTAAATACAATATAGCATGTCCTGAATGTGGGGTTTTGGAAACAAATTAAAACGTACAGCTCTGTTATCACTTCCAACATAAATGAAGACAGAAAACTAAACAGCAGTGACGTTTGTAGGGTTACTGAAGTTTGGCTAGCTGGTATATAATGATGTGCTACGTGACCGCTAGCGACACAGCTATGTTAGCATAATATAAACAAGCTTACTTTTTTTCCACTCGATAAAAGTTAACGTGAGTGTTCTCGGTGGTCAGGAACAAATTTAATCGCATGGCAGGATGCTGTAAAAGGACCAAACTTCAACCAGGAGAACAACTGAGATAATCCATCCACAATACGAGGTTAGTCATTCATATACTGCTGCATGGGCTGGGCTGTAGTTACATCCTAAGGTTTTAAAAACTGAGCTTAAATAAATGATTAGCGGTAATAAAAGCCGAGGGAGGTCATAGTGATCACTGACTGTTTTAGGAGCTTTTTGAGATTAAATAGAAGAAAATACGAAACATTAAACATGTTAACAACACAAAAGCTATATTAAACGCAGACTACTTTAGGCCCGGAAGTAGGATTAAGGATAAGCCACAACACAAAACCTCTTGCCAGTGCAACAATCAGGCAATGAGTAAGGGATTGGTTCAGGCTAAAATAGTCACTGTGATGACCCCATGAGCACCAGATTGGTTAACCAACAGATCTTTAGCAAGGCTTGACAGCTGGGTGGGGAAGCCTGGACAAACCAATGCTGTAAGAGCTAAATAAAAACACACCCACGAACATAAAGACACATACACAGGCAGGGAGAAAAAGAGAACAAGAGGGAGAGAGAGAGAGTCAGAAAAGGCATGCCAGTGCAGGAAGATATCCTGCAAAAAAAGCTATGGTGTACTAACTTTGTGTTATTTTAAGGTTGTATGAAATTACTAGGAGAAAGTTCAGTGAGGGTTAAACAGGCCAGCTTGCTTTACAGTTTAGATTTTACAATAATGCACTACGTTGCACTGGTGCACAGTGACTGTGGTGTTCCTGGTCATAAGTACATATTGTTGAATTCAGCTGTGCAAATCCACTAAGAGCAGATAAACTTTGGCCAGCAGTTGCGTTTGAGCTAGTTCAAAAGGTTTTTTAAGGTGTTTTCAACACCTTTGTAAACAAAAACTTCCCTTCTTAACGTACATTGTTTTTACATCTTTCCAATGTGACAGCTTATGCCTTGCATTTTCAACTAAAGAAAATAAAATCAGGTTCAATACAGAAAACTTCAGCTATTAATGTCACAAGAGTTGTCTATCTATTACAAATCAGAGGCTGAACAACAAGTTGCTAAATAAGACAGTATCAGGTGGAGGGTAGCAGGTATACTTACTAACACTGCCACTTTATCAGTGCTGGTCGTCATGCCCTTTGCTGCTAAAGTATTTATACCTATATTTATACCTACATTCTATATCCATACTCCATACTGGTACTCAGGTTGTTACACTCTACTTATCATATTATTTGTCATATCAATTTATTATTTATTCTGCTTTTTTAAACTATTTATTTATCAATTTTTTGTAAAAATAAGTTTTTTTCATTATTCTGTCTCTTTTCACTCCGGGACCGTGTGTACATAATTTCGTTCCACCTCATGTTAACATGTGATGAAAATGGCTTAATGCTATTCTGGATTTTAAACAGCACTCTGTACCTGCCAGTGGCTGGGGCCGATGCTCTACCTCCCCCGGCTGATCTAATAATTATTATAATCATATTAATATCATGTCAAATATGTAGACGAAGTGTGACCACAAAGGATACATGCATGAACAAGTAAAAGAAAAAAAATGCCAATGCTACAGGTCAAAAGGAGAATGTGATCTAATCTTTTTCTACTGAAATTACACAGCAGTACAGAATAGTTACAACAGATGTGTTGGGACAGATCCCTGCTAGTGCTAGCACTGAACCTTGCACCATGTATTTCAATACTGAAATTGTCTGTCCATCATTAAAACTCATACCTGCAAATCAGTTACAAATAGGGTGTGTGAGCTGCTTTACATCACACACAATAAATTATGTAAATAATGTTAAAATTAAATAACATATTACTTAAAAGATATTTTTGTTGGTAATAGTGAAATTTAATATTATTGTATTCATAACGGTGAATGCAGGATGCTCTCTAAATAAAAAGAGAAAAGAAACGGAGGACAGTTTTATCGATTGTTGAGTGGTTGTGCTCTGTGGATCCTCCTCTTTGATCATCAGTCAGTAAATGAAATTAAGACAACATGATGTTTTGACTCCGAGAAAAATGCCGCAATGATCTGGGTGACATGACTTTTTTTTCCATCAGTTTTTTTTCTAATGAAATATTACTTCCTGATTTTGCAACTATGTAAACATAACAGTTTATAAGTGCTGCTCTTAGATCTGTTTCCCACTTCATTCCCACTGGAAGGCTGAA